AGGGGTCGGTGCGCACCGACCCCTCTTGCTCTCCAAGCTTCAGCGAAAGCCTGTATTCGCCCCATAGGACGCACACAGATTTCCCCTTCATTTTTGGAGGGGAAAAAGTGCGTCCTATAGGGCAAAAAATACGGTAATTTAGCAAACGGTTAAAGTTTGCTTATTTATTAGTCAATTTAGAGTGTTTTTACCCTGCTTTTTAGCCAAAAGGATTTCCAAAGTTAATAAAACGAACAAATAAAAACAAGGGAGTCTCTTTTTTTTACAGACTTGCAGTGGAAAAGAAATCGCAGAGAAGCAAAAAAAAAGGGGGGGTGAGGAGGAAGGAGGGAAACAAGTAGGCCTAAGGACCAATTCTTAACATATTAGTTCTTGATTCTCAGCTGGAATGGAAATGGTTGAGGGACAAAAGGAGCCAAATTAAGCTGGTCTCACAGCAGAGCTGATGGAACAGCCTTGCTTCACATTGTTCCCTGATGGAATGGCGACTATCAAGGGATAGTTAGTTTGGTGTAGTTCTGCTTTAGATCCAAGAGGGAAATGTGCTTCTTTATAGGTATTTTTGACTGACACATTTTGGGTTTCGTTTTCAGAACTGAACTATCAAAATAAATTAGGTCATAGATCCTTGAATAAATGTGTCCATCATTTACTGCCTTTTAAAAGTCTGTTTTGTCATTTAAATCTGTGATTCCGATTGTCATTTTTGCTGTATTTTTGTTTAATTATTGTGCATTGTTTTTGCTTCTTACTGTAAGCCAACCAACCGCCTTGAGCAATAGGACGAAAGCCAGGGTGGAAATGTTGGGTGGCTATCTTTCCATCTACCTATCCAAATGTCCTTCAGTAAGTTGGAACCTCATGACTGATCCAGCTGACTGAATATTCCCTTCTGCAGTGGCATTCGAAGTATGACTTTGACGTAGTAGCTACAGGGAGATCCTGAGGGAAGGTGGTGTTCATGCATCTCATTATGGTTCATCTAGGATCTCCATATTAAACTCTGGAGCTAAATCCAGGGGGCCGTGGGTGCTTTGGCACCCACAATACTATACATGTGGGGGCTGCCCCCCCAAAAAAATCAATGGGCAAAGTTGAAGCCCTTCCCCACTGTCCTCATCTCTTCAACGTGAGAGAGGAGGGGCTGCTGTGTCTGGCTCTGGTCAGTGAGGGAGGAGGAAGAAGAGGAGCTGCAACTGCTGGTCGGTGTGTGTGACATCACATGCAGGATGTTTGTGTGACATTACACATCTGCATTATGTTGCAGACACCCACAATCTTCAGTGCAAGATGGCACCTATGTTATTAAATGTTACTGCAGATGTAGCTAATCAGAAGCATGAATCAGTCATGCTTCTATCTCCCCCTGCCTCACCCAGATCTCTGTTGAAATACATTGCTTTTTTCTCTGAATTAGTAACATGACTACTGTATTTCCATCTCTGGGTATATTTATTTTTGTAGACTAAAATGTAAAGTTGTTGCTGAAGATTCCCTTTATGTGTTTTAACTAGGACCTGAACTGTGTCATATGGTGTCTGGCTTCACACAATCTGCTGTGTGTGAATGAAATTGGCCCAGGTTACTTTATGTGCACAACCCAGCATGCTCTGAGTGGTGTTTGGCGAATAGACCAGATTGTCATATGCATTAAAGAATTGTTAAACTGACCTAATTTTATTTTCTGCTGTATTTTCTTTAGTTTCTGCTTTCTTGTGTTGATAAATTCCAGACACCATTTAACTATATTTGCTTTATGAAAATCTCTTATATTTATGGTTCTTTTTGGGTACTCACTGTGAGTCTGCCTAGAACTATGTTTGGTAATATTTAGAGGCATTTTTGATTACTTCTAGCAAAGTTACATAGATAGTGAGAGAGCAGCTTGTGTTTGACAAATGATGGGAAATTGCATATATTTTCTGTGGCATTTATTATAGTGCAATCTCTCCAGCATTTCACAGAACAATTCAAACCATATGCATCTTCTCATTGCAAATGGTTAGGCTTGCGTTTGCAGTGAAGACATTACAGGAGCGGATGAAATCCAACCTAGCTGTACTGCAGTGTATATTGGCATTCAAACAAGACCACCATCATCTGTGTAACAGAAACACTTGGAATTAAATAAACTCTAGGCACAGCACTTGTCTATGAAAGAGGCAAAGTGAGTGGTTATTCAGCCTAGCTGTATTTTGAATTTGAAGACATTTCATTTGTTGTCGATAAAAGTCCTCAATGGTTCTGCAAAAAGAATAGAGCTTCACAAAATAAGACAAATGGGATTTTAACTCATCATAAAATCAGTTGAGTGTTCAGCAGGACAAAGTCAGAGCTAATTGAAATGAAACTTTCTTTAGGAAGTGAATTTGTTTATGATGTATTGTTGAGATAGGGCCAAAACAATTTACCACACTGAGCAGCAAATTTTTGTAAGTAAAAACTGATCAAGAGATGGAGGCAGGCATGTGGTAAAGTCCTCAGGCAAGTGCATCTTCTTCCAGAAACTCCATATTGGGAGCTGATGATGAGCAAGACAAGTCCATCCATAACAAAGTTGTGGCTTAAAGTTTCCCATATTCCGCTCTCTGACCACTAGAAGTTTCTTCAGAGAATAAAACATAATGTATACATAAAAGCAATCCCCATTAGGTTTTATGATGAGGTGATACAATCCTCATCATACAGATACAGATATAACAGGATTAAGGATGAGGGCATTGTTTATTTTTAATTGAGAAGGCAATGTGTGATGGCTGCAGTTTATAGTTGTGAGGAAAAGGAAGACTAGAGAGATAAAATAAGAGTGGGAGATGGGAGAAGAGGATAAGAATTGAGAGTAAGTAGTGAGAGAGAAAATGAGGATCAGGGAATAGTACAGGAGACAACAAGTTATGGGTGGGATGGATGAAGAATAGCTTTGCACAGTTCAGGGCTACTTAATAAATTACAAAAAAGTTTCCAAAAACCTCTCCTTTAAACACCACAGCAGCTTTTGCAAATAAATTTTACAAATTTACAAGTGAACAGGAACTTTTACTAGCCTGCTGCTCATTCATTGCTAGATGTTGAGAGGACCGAAAAGCATTTAGCCCTACCTAGATTTGATTCTTTCTTATCAGAGGCAACTACATGAAAAACATAGTAAGAATGCATCTTTTACTGAAACATCAATAAATCCTTAGTGGCTTAAAGGCTTAATTGACACTTCAGCATTAAGACAGATCTGAGGTCTGTGCACATACTACATTGGTTTACAGTCAATTGTACCCTTGAGCTCTGCCTTTTTAGGTGCATTTAGCATAACTTGTGAAAGAGCCCATATGGGTTGACGATTCACCAATTTAATGTGTGTGCTAATTAATCCACGAAAGGCTCTTCTCCCTGCATCTGGGTCTGTTAATAAAATTTCTCCTGCGCCATGCCTTTCTGTGGCTCCTGGCATAACGCTTTCTGGGGAGGAAACTGCAGCAGAGACCGTCCAGTTTTAACGGGTTGTGGTTAATAATCCAACACACTGGAAATCTTCCCACATCCTAGCAATGCCTTCTTTCTATAAAACAAGCGTATACATCTGCTCTTCTAGTTAGGACGTAACAGTGTGAAATGACCATGGGCTTATTACAAGAGGGTTCTCCTGGAAATTCACATCCCTGCTACGTAAGGAAGATGGGTGTGCTTGGAAATGTGAGGTGGTCTGGTATGGATCATGCGAGGGAGGTTAACAGAGCTTTATCTTCAGTGAGCAGCCAAAAGTGAAGCAAAACAGCCTCTGTGTGGCTGCAGCAGCAGTTAGTGATTCACAGAACAGCATTCACAGTTTCCCCCCCACAAACTGCTGCAAACATTCGCTCTCAGCCGTTGTTTATTTTTAAGTTCAAATTTTTTCTTTTTTTCTTTTTATAAAAAAACCAGCTTGAGAAGCGCTATATGCCGTTTATTGCTAGAGGATCTGGGACGGCAGGTAAAAGCCGTTAATCCCCAGCAAGCTCCTGGGCAGACTAACAGTCAGAGATGACAAAAGTTAATTGGAAACATGAGCAGCATAACAGAAGACATATTTGCAGTAATTGGGATGTAATGTCTCCAGAAGAGAGAGTTTGCAAAGAGTAACTTTAGAAAAGAAGTGGCTCTCAAGAGGTGGGTAAGCAACTGTGGTTCTTATGCTCTCGTATTCATTGAATGAGACGCTTTCAAACAGACAGAATCAATAAGAGATTTGGACTTGCCAAGGAAGCATTTTCAGCTAGCTCTTTTTACTCCAGCTGGTTTCAATTATGAGATAAAGATGTATCGTTTATTGTTGCTGCGTGAATAAGGATATGATGAGTTTCGGTTTTGTGGATTTGGGTTTGATTCAGTGTTTTACTGGACTAGAAACTGAGCTTGCAGTTATCAGAAGGATCTTCTGATAGAGTGTGCATGTGTGTGTTGTGCTGTTTGATCCATGTTTCAGTTGGATTTTTGCCAAGTCGCAAACTTCAGCAGAGCTAATTCTGCTCAGTATAAAGCAGACAGTTTGGGTTATAAAGTTTTAATATTTTTTAATTTTCTAATAGTATGCTGTTAGTGTCTGATCAGGATACTCTGACACACACTGACTATGTGCATTTATTTGAATGTAATTGCTGTTAGGTAACATCTAAAATACATTATTCTCTATTATTTGGTAAGCAACTAAAAGTAGACAAGGTGATTCATAGCAATAAGAAACAGAAGGTCCCTGCCAGAAGGCTTAAAAAAAAAACTTAACAATTTTAATTGTTGATGATTTGATCGTGCTATTATTTTACTGCCCGCCCCCCACGAACAAAACAAAAATAAAACAGATTTTGTTTTGAATGACATAGTGTTGTGTTCAGGTCATATAAAACGTTACCTCAGTATTTCGTAGCTGCTGTTAGATGTCAGCATTTTGTGAAAGCAAGCTGTGTTCACCTGAAGACTTTCCAAAAACCAAGGCATCATGATTTTCTTTTCTTTTTGTTCTCTGTCTCCAGAGCCAGCAGACAATTTAGCCCCTCAGCCCACAGGAATGAATGAAAATGCACCACCTTCAACCCAAAGCAGCAGTAGCAACAACATTGCCGGTTGCAATAACTCCTCAGCCATCCCCCAGCCCAACTCTGCCGTTAAACCCTGGCGCAGCAAGTCACTCAGTGCCAAGCACACAGCTACGTCTTCCATATTATCAGTAAAACAGCAGGTCCAGGAACCTCCGAAATCCTCTCCAGAGATGGTCAAACCAACTCCCAACGGTCAGAAATCCATGCTGGAAAAGCTGAAGCTTTTTAATACAAAAGGAGGCTCCAAAGCAGGAGGGTCATCCCTTGAATGTCCGGGGTCTCGGGACGCTAGTTGTGAAAGGCTAGAGGCCCTCCCTAGCTTTGAGGAAAGTGAAGAGATTGAAGCTGCGAATCGGAACGCAAACAACCCCCCATCAAACAGTCCCAAAATTGCACTCAAGGGAATTGCACAAAGAACGTTCAGTCGGGCACTGACCAATAAGAAGAGTTCCCCAAAGGGCAATGAGAAAGAAAAAGAGAAGCAGAAGGATAAAGAAAAGGAAAAGGGCAAAGACGTTGCCAAGAGAATATCCGTAACCGAGAAAGCAGACGTGAAAGAGGAGCCGAAAGAAGAACAGATCCCACCAGCTACAACCGAGATGCCAAAAAAATCCTCCAAGATCGCAAGCTTTATCCCTAAAGGAGGAAAGCTAAACAGTGCCAAGAAGGAGGCACCTGCCCCTTCGCACAGTGGAATACCAAAACCAGGGTTGAAAACCGCCACAGGGAAATCCTCAAGTGCCCCAAGCTGTTCAGCAAAGGATGGCGAGAGAAGCCGCAGTGGGAAGCCGGCCTCAGGCCTCTCTCATCAGAAGCCCCAGCTGGACGGCAGGAATTCCAGTTCCACGTCAAGTTTGGCCTCCTCTGAAGGGAGAGGCATTGGAGGGGTGCCTGCTCTGAGTACTAGTAGCAGTACCCAGGCTGTCAATGGGCCCACAGGCAGTACCACACAGACCACAGGAAGCAATACTGTGAGTGTTCAGCTACCTCATCCACAGCAGCAATACAGCCACCCGAATACTGCCACAGTAGCACCATTCATGTACAGGTAGGAGTAACTTTTTAAGCAGGGTGTGTCAAGTCTGACTCGCTTAGCGTAGTCTGCTTCTTCTGTGGCATGCTTTCTCTAGAAGTAGGAAAAAACCTACAATAACAACTTGAGTTTGGTTTCCACCCCAAACGAGCGTTCCAGATCCTAATAAGCAGCAGACTTGTGGTGTGCGAAGGACAGAGCTTCTTTCTATTTGTGTCTCAAGTTAACAGTGAAAGCGACACAAAAGAAGAAATACAACTGTAATAATAATAATAATAATAATAATAATAATAATAATAATAATAATAATGGTAAGATTATGGTTTGGTTACATTTTGTGCCAAACCTTAATAACACGGGGCTGCTCAAGGTACAAAATGAAAAATCCCTCGCCACAACTATATAGCGATTATAGAGATGTTTGGAAATTGGCAGAAATGTTTAAAGCAGATTGCTGAATCCAGATAAGACACAGATGCTGTTAGTAGTAGGTTTCTCAGCCTAGATGAGTAGATTACATCCTGTTCTGGATGGAATGGCACTCCCCTTGAAGGAGCAGCTGTGTAACTTGGGGATACTGTTGGATCTGGCATTGTCATTGGATGCAAAAGGGGTCTCAGTGGTATGAAGCACCTCCTACTAGCTTTGGCTGGAAGCCCAGCTGGCTTTGGCTGCCTATGTTCTGTTAACCTCCAAGTTAGACTAGTGCAGTGCATTGTACATGGGGCTGTCTTTGAAGTTTGTTTGGAAACTACAATTAGAGCAAAACGATGGCAACTCAGTTGTTAACTGGGAGAAAAAGGCATTCCCTTATAAAGCTAGTTCTAACCCAATTGTGCTGGCTGCTGATTTGTTTCTGGGCCAAATTCAAAGTGCAGGCCTTTCACCTTTAATGTCATATACAAAATCAGGACTCCTATGCCTAAAGGACTGCATTTCCCCATATAAATCTGTCCAGAACCTGAGGTCATCATGTGAGACCTTTCTCTGTGTGCCACCTTAAGGGGAGGTTTGGAGAGTGACAGTGAAAGAGCAGGCCTTTCCTGTAGGAGCTCCTCATCTATGGAATGCTCTCCCCAGGACAGCCTGGTGTCAACTTGGCATTGTTCTGGTACCAGACAAAGATTTTTTCCCCTGGGCATTTTCTCTTATTATATTTTTAATAGGTTTATATATTTTTCTACTGTATTGCTGTGGCAATTCATAAAGTTAATCAACTGATTCTGGCTGAAATGCTTTTTAAAATGCACAAACATTTAATTCAAGGTTAACAGACTAATCAGTTAATGGCTACATCCCACTATCATGATAAACAGCACATATAGTATCCCCCAGGCTTGTACACTCCCCTGCCCCTCTCCACAGTTGGAGGCAGCAATGCTCCTGAATGGCAGTTGAGGGAAACCATAGGAGGGGGTTGTGCTCTTGGGTTTGGGTCGTGCTTGTGGGTTTCCCACAGGCATCTGGTTGGACACTGTTGTCACAGTGTGCTGGACTAGATGGTCATTGGTCTGATCCAGCAGGTTCTTCCAATGCAACTGTGATGAGGCTCTCAGAAGCTTTCACTGCATCTTATCAGGTTGTCTGAACCCACCAAACTGTGATTTGTTTAAAACAAGCCAATTTCAAACTGTGTTTTATGAAGCTAGCTTGCTTCAACAACCTATAGTTAAGATTAACTACAGTTTTGTGTTTGGACAAAAGCTAAACCGTGGTTAGCTGCAGTCAGAAGTGAAAGCTTCCCAACTCCTCCTTGTGGCTTCATTGGAGGAGGAGAGCAGACTAGGGAGTGCACAAGCTTAAGGGAAATTAGCTGGTTGCTGTCATGAGAAAACATAGTTTCTTGTGATGTCTGGACGTTGCTGATGACTTTAAATTTCTTCTTGCAGTATTGGGAACATCTTTGATTTATTTCTGAGGACTCTGACAAAGTGTTAGAGGGTCATGAATGAAGCAATATCTAGACTGGATTTTCTGATACTTTGCGTTCATTTGAGAACATAAGATATATTAAATCCTTCTAAAAATAAGAATAAATAGGAATGCTCATAATAAGAATACTCCTTCCCAGCATATGTCATTCTGTAGTTAATGAGCCCATGGAAATAAGCCATCTGCTTAACTTTGCATCAAAAGGATTCCTATCTGTTTTGGCATCTCTCACATGGCAGTGGGATATGTAAAGAAAGGCACCTTCTGTATAGTTCCAACATGAAAGTCAGCATAGATTGACATGCACTGACTGTTAGTCAAGAGTAAACTATTCACACATTGTGGCTCATACCCAACCCAGCCGAGGAGTTGATTTCTTCTTCTATACCAACCTTGCACAGGCATTAAAAAAATCATCCAAACCACATGCTGAGCCACTTCACACAAAGAGTGAACCATGTTATAGCAGCTGTCATGTGGTCACCATCACAAGTAAACCAGCCCCTAAATTCTAGAATAAAAATTAACAGAGATTTTTTACAAAAGCACTAGGAAGTTATATGCTGCTTTAATATGATAGATCTAAAACACCATGCCTCTTGGAGGAAAGGTGGTATACAAATGGAACAAATACTTTAAATAAAAAAAGAAACTGACACAAACATCCTGCATCCCATTGCCTAAAGTAGTCTCTGTTGTCATCAGTGATGGCTGGATCATAAAACAGCAATAAAGGTTGTTGACCAGGCTGAACGCTTAATTTAAAAATGTGAAGGTATTTGTCTAGCCAGTCTGTGGGCCTGCAAAGCCTGTATTTGACAGTGAATATTTCATATATTTTTTACAGTTGAGTGCTTGTTTCCATTTCTAGGACACAGCTCAACATGGGACTAATGAATTATGTAAAGTCAGTCTGCTAGTATATCCTGGGGAGAGGACACAATGCGAGATGGCAAGTGTACTTGTATTGGTGCTGGAATTCTTTTTTGCCATATGAATGACTACATTTCTCTCTCTCTCTCTCTCTCTCTCTCTCTCTCTCTCTCTCTCTCTCTCTCATATTTTGAACTTAAGATCCCAGACAGACAATGAAGGGAATGTAACGGCTGAGCCCAGCACTGGAGGGATGAGCACGAGCATGGATTCTGCTCCTTACACTAAAACTACACAGCCTATTTTAGAAGATCTTTCTGGTAAGACTTACATGTGTTGACTTTGTTAATACAGAGGAAAAAAGGATGGGGCTAAATGGCATCATTAGTTACCACTATCTCCCTTCTGTGATGGGAAGGAGATTAGTGTGCATTTTTATTCTGATTCTGGGTGAAAAGGCCCTGCCTAATCTCCCCAGTCCTGTTCTGTGGCAGCAAATGTGGGGACCACTTTTCCAGGATGGGCTGGATAAATCCTTAAAATTTAGGGGCTGGGAGATTCACATTGCATGACCAGTAGAGAACATTCTCTGTCTTCATTAAATTTATTATTTTATTACTCCTTTTTGTCACCATGGCAAACAGTGGGAGTCCTGTTTATTTATTCAATATGTTTGTTAGTTGATGTAAAAATAAATCTCTATATGGTTTACATAAAATATAACCATGAAGGTATCAGTATAAAAGTAGAATAACAATATTTGAATAAGACTTTTTGAAAGCGAAATACAAGCAGAGCAATACTATATACCATATATAAAACTTAGCAGTGCGTAGAGCCCTGGAAAGCTTGAATAGACATACATAACTTAAAGAAGTGATTAAGGCTGGTTACTTTACTCTGCTGCTTGAACTAACTGAAAGGCATTCCAAAGGGTGGATCTATCACCAAGAAAGTCCACTTCTGTGCTGGAACCAAGTGATAGTATGTTGGTTAAGAAATTGCTAGCAGAGCTTCAGCAGAAGATTTCGAGGCTCATCTTGGTCTATGCTGGAGGAGGCAGTCTGCTGTTATTATTTATTAATTTATATACCACTTACTTGCCAATATGGCTTCTAAGCAATTGTTCAGGGTCTTAAATATCAACAACAAAGCATCGAACCTGGCTCTGTAGCCAGGATCTTTCAACACCAGTGCAATTGTGCAAAGCTGGGTGTCCCACTTTGTACTAGATTATGCTGGTGAACTAGGCAGAAGGGTAGCTCCACATACTGCACATTACAGTAATCTAGTGGGTTACAAGTGCATGGCCAACTGTGGCGAGGCTGCTCTTGTCTGGGAGTGATCATAGCTGTTGAACCAACTGAAATGACAATGGGCAAGCCAAGCAACTGTAGCCATCTGGGCCTCTAGTGAGAGATTGGCTACCTAAGGTATATAGAAACACATATCAGCATAACCAGTAAGGAAAAATATGCATTTCCCATGTAGTGGTGCCTCAGGAAATCTTCCAAACCTGAGTTACACATCTACAAAAAGCAAATAATAGCTAACTCGTATTGGTCCTTTGTCATCAAAACTGGAAATGTTTTATTTTAGCACACTGTAACTTTTGATCAAGCACCATGAGAAGTGGGACAACAGTTTCGCAAAGACAGATGGTTAGTGGCATTCAGCAGATAGTCTTATAAATTGTAGGCCGCTAGCAAAATAAATTAGGGTGAGGAAGAAGCAGTATGGAGATAAAGAATGAATGAGCTTCTGAATCTGTATAGTTAATAAAAACCACTTTAGGACAAGCTTTCTCATCTCTTCCTAGGGTACCCTCATCAGATCAAATAAGTTATGTATTAAAAACTCAGGCTTCACTTAGGTTAATGAACACATGAAAATGATTTTTCACTTTGAATCTGTGATTCATTCCATGAATTAACAGAGTTCTCCTTTCCGTTTTGCAAGACAAGTATTTGCTGTACAAAAGATCATTGTTAAAAATACCTCAAATATTATGCAACTTCCACATTTTCCTACAAAATTCAAAATGTGAGGAAAGTATGCCAAGAAGATGTCTACTTTAATTTCTTGCACAAGAAATCATATTATAAAAGAGAATAACAGTTTTGCAAGACTGAGGAGTCCTTGTAGTGTCTTTAACACACACCCCCCAAAAAAACCTGGATCACTAAAACTTACAGGATTGCAAAAGCTACTCTGTAGTTCATTTTAAATCAAGACTCATAAAAGTAGATTTTTGGAATATGATCCTTTGTTACAGTCCTCATACTGGTGAGGGTTTAGTTGTTTCCCTTTCAGTCAGCCAGCATGATAACTGATACGATGCAAGGATGTGTTGAGCGAGAAAATTCATAATTTTTCAAGCTAAAGAACTGTTTGGTCAACTAAGTCTGTTCAGGCTCCTATAAGCAGCATTTTTTATTTTATTTTTTAAAAAGGTAAGCATCTTATGTTCAAAAGTGACTGAAGTATTCCAGTTATCAGCGCTTTCAAACTACAGTCTTTATCGTGCCGTACTATATTCTTCTGAAATGCACTGAGTATTTGCTTTAACAATTAAGTGATCAAGAATATGGCTTAGGAAAAAGACCTTGTCAGAAGCAACAATAATATTTTGGTATATTAAGCATTTGATACTGGTCGTTGTGGAAGGGATCCTCCTAATGTCATTAATGTGCTATTGTACATCAACAGTAGGTACCCATTCCATATAAAACTGGTGCGAGTGTGCATTAACTGTAAAAGAAGGAAACTACATTTGGGCTGGAGCCATAAAAAGATGACAGTTTCTGTTGGTAATAAAATCTAGTTGTTTTCCCCTCTAACAATTATATTTTTTCATAGGGGAAGATCCAGAAGCTCGACGATTGCGAACCGTCAAGAATATCGCTGATCTTCGACAAAACTTGGAGGAGACCATGTCAAGCTTACGAGGGACCCAGGTTTCTCACAGGTGGGAGGAATGAATTGCTTCTCTGTTCAAATAGAAGAAGAACTGTGGGGGCCTGTTTTTCCTGTCCTTGACTCAGTTTTTGCCCCAAGAAACGATTTAAGACTGGTAATGACAAGCATTGACTAAACTAAGCATGTATTGTGCTTTATTCTTTTTTAAAACTAAAAGCCCAGGTTCTAAACTGTCTAAAGATGATGGAGTAAATTTTGCTAATGGAGAAAACCAGACTGTATATAGAAGCCTAACCCTGAATAAATGCTTGTTACATACTTTAGGTGATGTTTGAATAAAAATGTGCAAAGGTTACTACTTAAAATGTTACTTACGAGAGACTTCAATGCATTTTTACCAGATTTACTGTACAATATTGTGTTTAAACAAGCAGCTGAACTTTACGTGACCTGTTTGATAAGGTGCATAACTTGAATTCCTACCTGCTCTTTGGTCAAACAAAGCCTTATAATTTTTTTAAGTGATGTACATGTATATGATTTTTAAGAGAAAAGCAACTTTTAGGACTCTCCAGTAACATTTCAGAGATAAAACAAAATGTCTGTTGTTAAGCCAATACTCAGTTAGATTGCCAACTTGAGTTTTTAACAAAAGGTTTTGGAAGGAATATGACGTGCAAAGACATTCAAGAGGTAGTTTAATTTGACTGTTAAGCGGTTGGATACCTCTTAGCATAAGATCTCAAATGAATTCAACATTTGAAAGTTTGCCTGGAAAATTCAATTAATTTAGTTCCTGCACTTAGGAACTTCCAGCACACCAGTTTTCCTTTTGAAGTTTAAATTAATACAGTGGCTCAGTGTGATTAATGACAATTACTATGGAGTCATTAGACTTGCTCAGAACCCTGTAGAATACTTATTGTTCTGGCAGATAGTCAGAATGGAGGCATTTTGCATGTTTCAGTGCCCGTTCTTATAGTATACGTTATGTAACTAGGAAATAAAATCATCCACAAAAGAAATAATGAAGACCCATATAGTTCAGTGGTAGAGCAAATGCTTTGCATGCAAAATGTGCCTCAGTATCTCTAGGCAGGGCTGGGAAAGACTCCTGCCTGAAATCCTGGACACCTGGCACCATTCAATGACATGGAGTTTGATGGATCAATGGTTTGACAGGGAGAACTCAGATTCCCAAGTTCCTCTTTTCAAGCAGTAACTGTAGAAAATGATTGAAGAATAGTGTACAATGTTTCTTGTTAATCAAAGAAAGGCTGCTCCCAGTACACATCCACAAACAAATATAAAATCTGGAAGAATACTTGGATCTTACTGCAAGAAACCTTAAAACATTGCCTTGGGACCAGAGTGGTCCTTCCATTTTCAAAAGGGCTGGCAATATAGTGAAGGCAATTTCCTCCCATCCTTTCTCTGCATCTTCCAGGATCACCTACCACACAGGTCTGGAGGGTCCTTCAATATTCCAGCGCAGATTTTCAGGGGACATAGGGCACTGCAGATGGGGAAATGAAATCAAACATAAAATTCATTCGCAATATCACTGAATCCAGGCCATTGTATACACTTAATCCAATTTTTTGATGATCAAATTAGCATTTCAGCTAACTGTTAAAGGAAGCTAATAAAACCACAAGAATGTGACATTCTGTGATTTGCAGATGTTAAATCACCCAGCACACTATATTATAACATTAGGAATCCAAGCTCCCTTTTCAACCTCCAAGGAAAAAATGCAATAGCCTAAATTGTATTTTTAAAGTATTTCTTGTCTTGAGAGGTGTAAAGCTCTCACTTAGTCACAGTGATGAAGCATGTGTTGCTCAAATATGTTCCCTGTAGGATTCCTTCAGCAAGGATGAAGATTTTTAATTAAGTGCCTACCTCCATATTCACAGTACATGCAAATATATTTCTGTCCTTTCAGTGTTGTAGGTCATAGAGGTCTTAACACAAAACAAGGCTGCAGGTTAAAATTGGAATGAGGGAGACCAGAATAGTGAATATTAACTTAACCCTTAGGTTTTTGGTTTTTTTAAGAGTTAGGCTAGAGTTCAATGTATCTAAGCATAATTTCAGCAGAAGAGGTTTGAAATGAATCCAGGATTTTAAAAATACAATTGTATTTCTATTAAATCCCTTTATAACAGGCATGGGAAACCTCCTTCCCAAAGGCCTAATTAGGCCTTCCAAGCAGCCCCATTTGGCCCAAAAGGGGGTTTGCAAGACATTTTGGAGTCCCTAACTATCAGCTGATAGGGTCTTCAAAGTGTAGCACATTGCAAGTACAAACAATCAGCTGTATTTGTAACAATGGGGGGGGGGTTGTTATTCACTACAAATGCAATGCATTTTGATTAAAAGTTTCCCAGTTTTAATTTCTTTCATAATTTTGATTTCTTATTCTTTCAAGCACCTTGGAGACCACCTTTGATACCAATGTCACCACTGAAATAAGCGGACGCAGTATTCTCAGTATGACGGGAAGGCCAACACCCTTATCATGGAGACTTGGGCAGTCTAGTCCTCGCCTTCAGGCAGGTGATGCTCCATCAGTGGGCAATGGATATCCTCCAAGAGCCAATGCCAGCCGGTTCATCAATGCAGAATCAGGGCGTTATATGTATTCAGCTCCCTTAAGAAGACAGCTAGCATCGCGGGGCAGTAACGTTTGTCATGTGGATATCACCGACAAAGGGGGTGATGAAATAGATCTTGAAGGAATCAACATGGATGCCACAGGTTACATGAGTGATGGAGATGTTCTGGGGAAAAATATAAGGACTGATGATATTACAAGTGGGTGAGTACATTCAAGTTTACTGATATAATAATAATAATAATAATAATAATAATAATAATAATAATAATAATTGTATAATCTTCCTTTGAGCCAGAATTGGCTCACAGAGCATTTTATAACCATTACAATACTTTATGAAAATACGTAGTATTAAAGATACATGGACGTGTGTGTTTATGGCAGCTTCAACTGGTTCCATGAAGCTGATGATCCAAGTCTAGATTTTAGGCTCTTCCCTACAGGAGAAGGGAGGAGCAAGAAGAGCTGCAGGTGGCCATAAAGGCCATGCATCAGGACTAATAAATTATCAGATGTACTTTGTTTGCTTGACACAGGATGCAGATGTTCAAGCACTTCCATAAGAATGTAGATTTTGTTCCTGTTATGCATGCCTGATGCAGACACTTTTATAGTGATATGTCTCTTAAGAACACTACAGTCTATTACAAGGATCTGTAAAGCAGTTGGTTGAGTTATAGTAGTACCTTGGGTTAAGAACTTAATTCGTTCTGGAAGTCCGTTCTTAACCTGAAACTGTTCTTAACCTGAGGTACCACTTAAGCTAATGGGGCCTGCTGCCACGCCGCTGCTGCACGATTTCTATTCTCATCCTGAAGCAAAGTTCTTAATCCGAGGTACTATTTCTGGGTTAGCGGAGTCTGTAACCTGAAGCATATGTAACCTGAAGCGTATGTAACCTGAGGTACCACTGTATTTGGTTTTTTCAGGGTAATGGGACACCCCACAGCAAACACGCCACTCCTCCCTAGTATATTGTGGCATGGTAGGACACTGAAGCAGCATGTTGAATTATTGACTACTATAAAGTTTCAAATTCTTGGGGGGATATGTTTTCTTGCCACCATTCTTCAGAAAATTTGTACAAATAGTTTGCATTTTAGAAACATTTTAGAATGCTCACAGCCTATAATGGTAGAATTAAATTTAACACCTCTGCCTTAACTATACAGTCAAACCTCGGTTGTCAAATGTAATCCATTCCGGAAGCCTGTTTGGCTTCTGAAATGTTTGACAACTGAGGCACGGTTCCGATTGGTTGCAAAAGCTTCCTGCACTCAAGCAGATTATAGTGAAGGGGTGTGTTGTGTTTTAGTGGGTGTCTAAAAGAGGGACGCGGGTGGCACTGTGGGTAAAACCTCAGTGCCCAGGACTTGCTGATCATATGGTCGGCGGTTCGAATCCCCGTGGCGGGGTGAGCTCACATCTTTCGGTCCCAGCTCCTGCCCACCTAGAAGTTCGAAAGCACCCTTAAGTGCAAGTAGATAAATAGGTACCGCTTTATAGCGGGAAGGTAAACGGCGTTTCTGTGTGCGGCACTGGTGCTGGCTCGCCAGAGCAGCTTCATCATGCTGGCCACGTGACCCGGAAGTGTCTTCAGACAGCGCTGGCTCCAGGCCTCTTAAGCGAGATGAGCACGCAACCCCAGAGTCGGTCACAACTGGCCCGTACGGGCAGGGGTACCTTTACCTTTACCATAAAAGAGAATTGCTGCACCATTCCCTGACACCACAAGGGGGTGCATATTTCTACTCTTAGTTCAACAAGAGCTTTTTCAGAATTATTTTAAAAATCTAGATGCTGGCAAGTTAATACAGGAGATTATCATTACGTGGAAATTATGTTTGTTATGCAACATATACTGCTTGTAGGTGAAGATTTTGAATACACTTGATGGGCCTTCAGTGAAATGATTTATCAAAAAACATTAATAATGTGGAAGTATTCCTACAGAAAAGGAAGGAAGGAAGGAAGGAAGGAAGGAAACATTGATCAGAAAATGATCACTTTTAGTATTGTATACATGGTATACAAATCTGTTTTCTGAAACCAAATAATGTTATTTATTTAAACACACATCTTTATAGGAAAATAATTACTTCAAGAAAACAGAATTAAAAAGGCTGGTGCTTTTTTAAAAGGTGTGTCGGACCAGGAGAACCTCTAAAAAACTTCAGTTACAAAATCTGGGCTCTCCACACATTGAACATTATGGACCCCATCCTTATTTGTCTCTCCTTCCTTGCCCCCCTAAATACGGATGAACCTATCGCAATCTGATGTCTTTAAGTATAGAGCAGGTGCAAATGAAATGTGTGTTTGATTCAAGAAATGGTTTATAACTGTTTTGATGGATCAAATTAATCGGCCAAGATAAAAAGAAGAAGTAGAGATTCCTTAGGATCTCTTGCCAGATTTAAGGGACATAAAATCCCGCCAAGTACCACCTGTTTGCCTGTGGGCTACTCACAGTATATGGTACAAACCACATACACTAGGATCACAGTTTGGCTGGTGCCTACATGGAAGTGACTTTTGTGTTGAAATTACTGTCTTGTCCATGGGTTTTAGGTGTGTCAGTAACCTGTAAACTGTTGCAGGTACGCCAAGGTAAAAAGTGGAGGGGAATGGATTTAGTGCCCTGGTCCAGCATTGGCTCCCTGATCAAATCATCCCTCTGACTGTTTTGAACTAAAAACAACTTCAAGTCCATAGGAAATGTAATCATGGATCTCCTGACATCTTGTCTAGTTTGGTCCTTACCTGAAACATCTTGAATTTGAGGCTGCTGATTTTTACTCTGACAGTTTCAAAAGCACATTGTAAAAAAACGGACACACACACAAATAAAAATTCTATCCTGCAAAAAGTTTAGGAAATGATTATCAAAAGAACCCTTTAGCAACCAGTGGTCTAGCAAACACACGGCTTGCCCATCCCATGTTTCTGCAAATAAAGTAGTGCAAGACTTTGCTTTTCAATGTTTCTTGTGCTAATATTTGCAAAGCAAATGACCTTTACCTGAAACTGCATTTGGAATGCATTTTATTTCCAAGAGAGTTTATTTTAAATGATTGTGAATCCTTTCATCAAAGGAATGTCTTCGGTCAATAAAATATATGCATATGCACATTCAATTGAATTGGGGAAAACTATAGGCTTCCTATAGACGGTTGTCTTATTTCTTAGGATACCTTTGCACATGCACTTGCAGAGACAGATGCCTATGCTTTGTACAAGTTTTGGTTTTTTTGTTTGTTTGTAGCTCCATCTAGTGGTGGATGATTTCGTTAATATATTTGCATATGCCTGTGAAACTCAAGTGTTGTACAGCAAACCTGTTACTGTCAGGTAGCATTGCAGTTTCCTATTCTTGAATGTGAAACCCTCAGGAACAAAAATAGATGAAAAATTCAGCATCACTGTTTCTACCACAGACTGGTAGTTTCCTAACTTGTGGCTTGCCTGCAGAGCATAATTATAACTAGTAAATCCAACATAGCAAATGCTGACTGCAATTACTGAACTGTAGCTACTACCACTTAAAATGTTTGCATTTTTCTACTGTTTGTTTCATATATTGTAGTTCTTATTAGCTATTTTAATTGCTGTAAGCTGCTGTGAATGCAGTAACAGGACAGAATATAAATCTCTGAGTAAATAAACAGAAGTATCTAGCGTGAACAGTGTGTTATGCACTTTACTGGACAGAAATAAAACCAACATAGTGTGAAAAAATGGAAAAGCAGTCAGTCGATCTTGGTTTTTCCAAGCAGCGCCCATAAGCATCTGTTTGACACTCTAGCTAATAATACTACTCTATATGTGCATCTTTACTTATGTGACTGAAATAACACATATTATTTCATTGTGTGGGCTTTGTTTTTGTAAACAATTCCAGTGTTAAGTAGACAGTATATGTTTCAGCAATTATCTTGGTGCTCATGAAGAGTTTCTGGGTTAAACATTAACAGACGCAGAGAAATAATTATACTCCACAATTGCATTGGTTTCCTGGATTGGGCCAAAGGTCTGTATAGTCCAATACTCCTTCTCTACCAGCAGCCAGCCAAGCTAGACTCCCTCTCTCTGGCTCTGTGCCTAATAAAATGACAGATTGATAGTTACTCATATCCATTGGCAAGCCCCTTGGACTGTTAGATTAATGACTGAATATGAGCTTGTTGGTGTTTTGGGGATAAGCAAATGCCATATTTGCTTAGAAGCAATTGAAATCAAGATATTGTAGCGGTGGGGCAGGGAAACTCAATCCCAGCAGTGTTGATTTTGGACTTTTTAATTTGATATATAAGCTCATATTCATGTTTGCCCCAGAGGAAGGCAGCATTCCAGTACTGTGTTGCAATGACGCAATTGGATAACATCTCAAAAACTGTTATGGGACATAAACTCTTCTGCCTCTAGGGGAAGGGCGTTACCTTAGCGAACAATGCAGGCACCTAATACTGCTGGAAGAGGGTTGTCTGCAGTGCAAACAGATGTTTCTGTAGCATCAGTTTCATGAGACATGGCTTTTGGACATCCGCAGCACACGACAAGAGAAAACGAGGAAGCCATATTTCTCACTGCGAGAGAAATAATGTCGCTGTGCACATCTGCACAATTAGATGTGCCCCAGGAAACAATCCTGGGTGTTTCACTCAGGTGTATTTTCAACGTACCCATCATGTGGCTTGCAGCTGGTGTAGTTGGGTAGCACTGCAGAGCATCACTGCAGCTTGGACAGTACTGGGGTAGAACAGGGTGGCAGCAAGGTCAGGGCTGTAACTGTGTAGATGCACAGACAGGTGGGAGTGCCTCCAGGTTGGTTCTGCTGGCATATCCACCACCCTACTCCACCCCAGCACTGTCTGGGTAAGCTGCAAGTATACTGGTGTAAAGAGGACAGCTCCATGGCTCTGCCCTATCACACAACCTTCTCCCCATGCCAGGTAGCTTTGGTTTTCATATGTTGAAAACAGCATGTCTCAGAGTACCAGATGATGGGGACAATTTGCTTCATGCCCTCTTTGAGAGTATCCAGAAGAGATGGCTGGCTACTGAGGGAAACGTAGGCCACATTCACATCCTACACTGAAAGCACCACTATACAAATTGAACAGTCATAGCTTCCCCCCAAGAATCTGGGAGTTGTGGTTTGTTAAGGTTGCTGAGAGTTGTTAGGAGACCCCTATTCCCCT